TCCTCTAGATGAGTTCTGATTATCAAGCCATCGAGGCTAGGTCAGATGGGGTACTGTCTGCAAGTTTGGGTCTTCTTGTGTATATCCCCTCACTTCATGTTAGCTGGATGCCTCACTCTCAGCTCTAGTCCTCCCTCTGTGGCTTTGTCTTTGTCCATGGGTTCAGGTGTCCCCAGGTCTCACCACACTTTGGACCACCCAGCCCTTCCTCTTCTCTCTCTCATCTCCAGGTCAGTGGGAATCAATGGAATGTGGTTGAATTTAGCCCATTTCTTCTTCATTGCTGCCTTTCCCCCTCTTCCACTCACCAGTAGACCAATGTGGTCACCAGCAAGCTTACATGTCTGCTCATGTGTTCCCTTTGAGTCTCAGTCTCTCTTAGGCATGTGTGTGTGTGGGGGGGGGCGGGGAGGTTGTTACCTTAGTTGCCTCTTAAAACTACAACAATTCAAGCCAAGTTCCTTTTGACATTTACCAGTTCCTTAATTGGCTTTTTGTTCTGGAATTACTCTGAAGCTCATGAGAGTCTTTTTTTTCTTTTCTTTTCTTTTCCTTCTTTGATTAGAAAGGGCATACCTTGTGTCTCCATGTAGTTGTCTGTTTTTCAAATTAATGTCTATTAAAGAAAACAAAAAGGTAACTACCAGTGTCAGGTATTACCTGGATTGGTGAATTTAGCTGTTGTTAAGCACCATCAAGTGGGTTTCTGAGAAACAGCTGGTGGGTTTGAACTGCTGACCTTGTGATTCACAGTCTAGTGCTGATCCATAGCGCCACGCCAGAATTTAGCAGAAGACGTTTTTATTAGATAATGAGCCTGGAAATGAGAAACAATGAGAGAAGCCATTTCATTACTTCATTGTGTGTGTGCATGTTGGGAGGGGTGACTCTACTACTAGTCCCATGTTTGCTCTTCTTTTTCAGTTTTTCCCCTACATCCTGTTACTGCTTGCGATTCTCTTGTACCTGCCCTCCTTGTTCTGGCGTTTCACAGCTGCTCCTCATCTCTGCTCAGACCTGAAGTTTATCATGGAAGAACTTGACAAAGTTTACAACCGTGCAATTAAAGCTGCAAAAAGTGTCCGTGACCTCGACATGAGAGATGGTGCCTGCCCAGTTATGGGCTTAAACGAGAACGTAGGGCAAAGGTAACGTAACCCCAGCAGGTATCTTGTCAAGCTTTGTAGTACAATTCTCGGGAGTGGGGAAGATCATCTACATAGTGACAGTCTGTGGGAACCAGGAAGGCTCTCCTTATATTTCACCCTTGCTGGCCTGTTCCAGCTTCTATCATCCCATCAAGAATCCTCCTTGTTCAGTTAAATATCACTCTTTCAGCTTTTAAAATGTGCTCTAGCAGGGTTAACAAATGTACTACTTTTAGCTTCCTTGCTTTGACCTCCTCCTTAAAGAAGCACAGACGACTGGGATCTTGAAGGCTTTTGAGTGGCCATCCAAGGTACAATTGGTCTGCATTCACTGGGACCACTAGAAAATGGATGGTCAGGAATCACTTAGAGGAAATGGAATGTGTGTCTAATCACCTCAAATTAATGACTACCAACCAGAAGTCCTGGAAGGTGCCTGGCTATTTTATTACTCAACCTATAGAAGAGTCCTCTTCAGAAGGGAGGTTTTGTGTAACAAAATTGAAAATTTGCATGACATCAGCCATTCTAGAGCCCAATCAGGACTGGGATGACTCCCTGAAACTGTTACCCTAAGGGAATCTTTAAACCTTGTAAATCTTTAAACCTGAAACTATCCCCCCCCCCCCAAAGTCATCTTTAAACTAAATAATTGTTGTTTTTAAGTGCTATCAAGTCAGTTCCGACCTATAGTGATCCTTTATAGGGTTTTCGAGGAGTGGTTGGTGAGGTTTAACCTCCGACCTTTCTATTCAAACTGACCTTGCAGTCTATCCCATTAACCCACAGCGCCACACCAGCTTAACTGGAAAAGAATGTCTGCTTTAAGCTGTCTACTCTTTTAAAGATTTCTCTCCATATGATCACATTGACTACAACAGCTCGAAAGATGAGAGGCAGGTGCAGTGAGTTTACATTAGTGATGGTGACACAGTGTGGAAAAGTTGTCCAGAAAGGAGGCCAAACTTGAAGAATGTGTCTAGTGTCACGAAATTGTTCATGTAGAAATTATTGAAGTAGTGCATGTCTTATGTATATTTTCATGTGCACCTCTGAAAAGACAGAAAACAACAGAGTGTTATGAGCATCTGAGCATGAGAAAAAAGTTTGGCAAAAATGGGGAGCAAGTAGATATAGTGCCTGGCATGTGTCATAGTCTTACTCTGGCTTTTTTTATTGACAATCCAAACCAAACTGAACCTACTGCCGTTGAGTCTATTCTGACTCATAGCAACCCTATAGGACAGAGTAGAGCTGTTCTTTAGGATTTTCAAGCTTTACAGAAGGATCTCTGGTAGCATAGTGGTTACAAATTGGGCTGCTAATCTTAAGGTCAGCAGTTCGAAACTACCAGCGGTTCCACAGGAGAAAGATGAGGCTTTCTGCTCCTGTAAAGATTTACAACCCCGGAAACCCTGTACAGGGTCACTATGAGTCGAAATTGACTCAACGACACATAACAACAACAAACCTTTATGGGAGCAGGCAACCTCTTCTTTCTCCTGTGGAGTAGTTGGTGGGTTTGAACTGTCAGCCTTGTGGTCAGCAGTCCAATGGATGATTAAACCACAGCACCACCAGGACTCCTTACCGACAAGAGTAATAGTTACATACATAATAGCTATCTTTTTGAGCACTTAGTTGCATCCCAGACCCTGTGTCAAGTGCTTTAAGTACATGATCTCATTTAATCTTCAAAACAGCATTATCAACCAAATGCTTTTATTATGTTGTTAAGGGCTGCCAACTCAGTTCTGGCTCATAGCAACCCTGTTATGATTCATACAGTTTTCATTGCTTAATTTTTAGAAGCTGATTGTCTGGCCTTCCCTCCTACTCTGTCTTAGCCTGAGAGCTCTGCTGAAACCTATCTACAGGTGGCCCTGCTGGTACTTTAAATACTAGTGGTGCAGCTTCATACATCACAGTAACACACAAGCCACCATAGTGAACCAGTGGACAGATGGGTAGTGATTTCACTAAATACACTCTAAAATACTAAGTGAAAAAGTAGTTAATTATTGCTTTTCCTTCTGCTTTTTTTCTCTCTTTCTCTTTCTTCTCTTCTCTCTTTTTTTCATTAACTTAATTTTAAGACCAAATTATTTTCTGCTTTGATTCTTTGAAACCTTGCATTTTCAGTAATGGCATGCATTTCCAATGAAATGGCAAAAAACAAACATTTTTGAGATATTATGATGCTCATATAATAGGGAATCCTGGTAGCACAGTAGGTTAAGAGTTGTGCTGCTAACTGCAAGGCCAGCAGTTCAAAACTACTAGCCGCTCTGTGGGAGAAAGATGTGGCTTTCTGATCTATAAAGATTTTCAGCCTTGGAAACCCAAGCCAAGGTTGCCATGAGTCAGAACTGATTCCACGGCACATAATCACTACCACCACCAACACCACCAGTGGCACACATAGGTCCCAGAGGTCTCTGGTGCAGGAGTTGATGGAATGAAGCCCATTTCTTCAGATTCATGCAGTTGTACAGAGCCTCCATCAGATAGCAGCATGCACTAAAAATGGGATACCAGGTTCCCAGTAAACCCCAGAGGCAGAAAATGTAGGTGGTCTCTGTATATCCCACAGGTCACAAAAGGCTTAAGCCTAATTTTATTCCCTAGGACTCCAGTGAAGTTACAGGTAGAGTAGTGTGGGAAGGAAGACTTTGAGAATTGTTTGTTGCATTATTGAATGCCCTGGCAATCTGGCATAATGCTCTGGGTTAATGCACTGGACTGCAAAGTTGTTTTGAATGCAAGGTCAGCAGTTCAAGTTCACCAGGGGCTCCTCAGATACATATACCAGGTTGCTATGGGTCAGCACCAACTCGATGGCACTTAACAACAACATTATTGAATGTGTTTATGCTTTTAATATGTGATGGTCTTGATTAGAGTTTGTTTTTACTTCCTTTTTAGTTTGTGGGAAATATCTGAAAGTCACTTCAAGTACCCAATTGTGGAACAGTACTTGAAGACAAAGAAAAACTCGTTTAATTTAATAGTCAAGTACCTCAGCTGCCGTGCACTAACACTCACGATTATACTGTTAGCATGTGTCTATCTGGGCTATTACTTCAGCCTCTCGTCATTATCAGATGAGTTTGTCTGTAGCATCAAGTCGGGGATCCTGAAGAATGACAGCACTGTCCCTGATAAATTCCAGTGCAAACTCATCGCCGTGGGCATCTTCCAGCTTCTCAGCTTCATTAACCTGATGGTCTATGGTCTGCTGGCGCCTATGGTTGTCTATACATTGTTTGTTCCATTTCGACAGAAGACAGATGTTCTCAAAGTGTATGAGATCCTGCCCACATTTGATGTTCTACATTTCAAGTCTGAAGGGTACAATGATTTAAGCCTCTACAACCTTTTCCTGGAAGAGAATATAAGTGAACTCAAGTCCTACAAGTGTCTTAAGATACTGGAAAATATCAAAAGCAATGGTCAGGGAATCGACCCAATGCTACTATTGACCAATCTTGGCATGATCAAGATGGACGTTGTTGATGGCAGAATTCCCAAACCTGCTGTAAACACGATGGGAGAGGAGCAGGAAAACCAGACGGCAGACATCCAAGGTAGGCAGCCCCCAAAGTGCCATTACAACTACTTTTTAAGAGTGACTGAAACTATTTACCCCATCTGCCATTGTTAAACCATTTTCCTAGCATGGTCTTGGGAGAAATCCCTCCATATTGGGAGAGAGGGAAAAAGAACTAGTGCTGTCCCAAGTTTACAAAGAAAGAAGGAGTCTGTGGGTTTTCTGATTGTTCCCACTTCCACCTCATTCAGTCTCTATCTCATCTCTGCTTCTAGCTCTAGCCCTCTTGCTTGTGGTCTCTCTCACCTATTTTTGTCTTGTCCTGACTTTTCTCTCTGTATCACTCTTCCTCTTGTCTCTCTGTCTCTGTCTCTTGCACAACTGACTGAAAGTTAATCTATTTAATTGTTTCCTTGAGCTAGTTTCACCATGGTTGGAAATTTGGCTATGAAGCTAAATGTGGTCAAGCAAAGGATACGATGGCTCTCTCTAAGAATCGTTGATTAGTGCTCATGTTCTTGCGGTGCACAGATGTAGCCTTCTGTCATAAATGCTTGTTTTCAATTTTGACAGATCTGAACCTACCCAGTGAAACTATTACAAACAATGGAGAGAAGAATGTCCGGCAGAGACTTATGGATTCTTCGTGCTGATGTTTTTTTTTGTTTTGTTTTTTTTCCTTGAACTTCATACCAGTAACTTCTGTGACATGGGATTTGTTTTGGCTGAAGGAAGTGTCAGATTCACAGTGGTTTGCAGCAAATGATTCTTGGTAGAGACATTGGGTACATCTTACTGAGTTCCTGATGAAAATGATGTTTGAAAGAATGTCCTGAAAAACAGCTCATTAATTTTCTACGGGAAACAAGTTGGAGAAACCACAGCAAGTGTATACATGAGTTGGCTTTCAATAATTCCTGGAAAAATTCCATTATCTTTCAATTCCATTTTTCCATGAAAATGTTTAAGCCCCCTTGTGTATATATCTCCTCATCAAATGAAAAGTGCAAGGAGTAGTCAAAATAAAAGAGTAATAGTTCTTCTCAAGTTTTGGCTAATCAGATGTTGTCAGTGAAACTCAGAACTACTAGAAAGCAAGGACTTTGGAAGGTTTTGTTTTAATTTTATGAAATGACAAACATATCGGGATGCAATTAAATGTGAAACTCCCATGTGCCGCTAATAACTGTTACATGAGAAAACCTTTTCACTTGCTAACTGTGGACTATAGGTCAACTTATTCTTGGTAGTGACCTAAGTTAAAAATACAGTTGACACTTGAACAACATGGGGTTAGGGACACCAACCTCTTACACATTAGAAAATGCACTTAGAGTTTACAGTTGACCCCTGAACAAAAAGAGCTTGAACCATGGGCCCACTAATAATACCTGGGTTTTTTTTAACTCATGCTACTTTGTGTAATAGGCATGCCGTAAATATAGGGGGTCTTGGTGTGGCACTGTAGGATAAGCACTGGACAAACCATAAGGTCGACAGTTCAAACCCACCAGCTACTCCTTGGAAATCCTACATAATATGGTCGCTATGAGTCAGAATTGACTTGACAGCACTTAACAGCAGCAACACGAACATTGCATTCAGCTCACATGTTGGTGAGTACTTGCTCCAATGCCTTTTGATACTAATCTTCTCCACATGAGCAATTTGCGAGGCCAGCTGGGGGGCGCTGGGAGGGTAAGAGACTAGCACTGACTGGAGAGGGGATTAGCATCACAACACTCGAGCCCACTGCCACGGAGTCCCTTCTGACACACAGTAACCCTGAATCGGCTTTCCCAGGTGCAGGCAGCTCATCTCATACAGTTGTTCAAGGGTCAGCTATAATATCGATGCTGTGGTTCTTGTACGTCAGGCGCCTGTTAACGTTTGGCTAATTGAAATTCTCTGACCGCTGTTCGTTGCACTCTGGTTTAAAGGGCAGCAGGCCCAAACACTGCTGTGATGGAAAACTTGGTGAGATATGAGATAAAGTCTAAAGGATATTTGATTCATACCATCGTGAAGATAAAATGGGTAAGAATGCTTCAACAAGACCCCAGTGCGGAACTGTAAACATACTGAAGGACTTAAATCAGTCACTGCCAAAGGGCTGTCATAGTGCTTTTCTCTGTGGTCAAAGACATTTGAAATAGGATTTAACTGAAACACAGTAACAGTACATGTTCAAAGTGAGGGACACCTTTGCCTAGTATGATCAGAGCACCTAAATGACTTTTCCCCTTTGATGTGCTTGGAGTTTAAACAGCTTTGTTGTTGTTAAGTGCTGTCGAGTCAGGTCGATTCCGACCCATAGCGACCCTGTACAGGGTTTCCAAGGCTGTAAATCTTGACTGGAGTAGAAAGCCTCATCTTTCTCCCACGAGGCGCCTGGTAGTTTTGAACTGCTGACCTTAAGGTTTGCAGCCCGATTTGTAACCACTACGCTACCAGAGCTCCTTTGAACAACTTAGCAGTATTTTATTTATACTTAAATGCAACTTTAAAAAATACATTTTAATTTAGACTCATACCGTGTCAGAATTGAGGCCACTTGGGAGGAACATTGAGCCCAACTCAGGATATGCTAAAAATCTTATCCAATTCTGACCATGGAAATATAGTCGGACTTCAAAAAATTCATAGAAAAATGGAATGAAAACATACGGGATTTTTTCCATGAACTTTTTGAAGTCCCCTTGTGTTGTGTGTTTACGTCTTATACAAAGTTCGTTAAAATTACATCTGTGGGCCTCCCATTTTTTTATTCTTAAAAAAAAATGAACACATTGCTAACGTGAATAATCCTCAGGAACCTCAAAAGTTTACTTTGGACCCTTAGGAACAGTTGTTTACCTAGTCTGATAGCCGTTTTATGAAGAACAAGAAATGTATATGCTGATGCCCACCTTTAAGAATATTCAGAAAAGCCGATTTATTTCTGCTTTTGTGATAGTTTCTGAGAGAGGGGGAAGGTTGATGATCAATACCAAAGGTGCAATCACTGTTTTAATGTATTCTCTATGGCCTGATCTTTATTACTGTTGAATTATAGTGTGGCATTGAAATGGCAGTAACAAACAAAAATAATTGATTGTGTGACATTTTTATATTCTTGTGTCTGAGATTTTCCATCACCATTATTTACACTGGTCTTTTATCATTAGAAAAGATTTATGGAATGTATTTTTCTAGAATGTGAACTATAAAAAACATTGTCTCATCTTCTCCATGGATTGCCTTTTATTTGTATTGTGAAGTGATAAAAATGAGTACATTATTTTAGAAGACCAGGTCCTCTGCAGGGTGTGGAGGCTCATTCAGCCTCTTGGAGAAAGGACAATTTCTGTAAATACATTTCCACTTAAAAGCAGTGATTGATAGTCTTTAGCTTTTTACAGTGGAGTAAGTTGTGACCATTTTCCAAGTTCAATATAAATTCAGTGTTGGTTGGTTGGTAACCATTAGGGAATTCAAGTTCCTAATCCTAATTAGCCCCATTGTGGGTGATCCTGTTATCAGGGTGAATACAGTTGGGGTCCTTGACCTCTGCCGCAGCCCATTTTTACATTCCTGCCCTTTAAACTCCAGTAGGATCTATGATGTCTCAAATAGCACACCGGTCACTGGCTGTGCAGATAAGCACACCGCAGTCCCCTATCTTTGAGGAGTTCAGAGACTAGTAAAAGAGAGTGGGGGACAGACACAAGTGTTTAGAGGTGAAAAGAAGCTAAGTAAAAGTTCTGCCAGAAAACTTCCAGCAAATGCTCCAGGATCCTGAGAGGCGCCATATTGTTTTTCTTTCTTCCATAACTTTTGTTAAGTGATGGTTTTGAGAGTCTAGTTAACAGTTTTATCCCAGTGGTGGATGATCTTCTTAATGTTCTAAGAGTTCCAGTTGTCTTTTATTCATTATCCTGCATAAGGTGGGGAGGACAAGACAGTGGGATACAGTAGAGTTGTCTGTAAGCCACAGTAGTGGATCAAAAGGCTGATATGGTTGCCTGGCCATAGAGTTCAGTTTGGTTAAAAAAAAAAAAAAAAAAAGTCTTATTAGGAAAGTTAACTCTTCATCCACTGTGAGTCTCTGGCTTGAAAGAACTCCGTTCAAGGAGCCAGTTTTCTGAAGGAGAGGAGTCATTCACTGTCTTATCAAAAAGGAATGCCAGATCTTGAAGGACCATCTCGGGGTTACCATCTTTATTTCCAGCTGATGTCTTTACAAAGCTTAAACCAGACTCATGACAAGTGTTACAGCTGGGAATTGGACGGATCCTTCTGAAAACAGAACTCCAGTTGCATGTTTAATTTACTAAAAGACAAGCAGAGACTTTAAGTCTTAAAGTAGAGGCTCTTAAGCTTTGGGACGGTCACAAACCCACCCTTGAAACTCATTTAAAAGTGATGATGGACCTGCTCCTCACATATACGCAGCATTTAAAATGCACCTTCAAAGGTTGTTGCAAGCCCTGCATCTGAAGAGAAAGGGGACTCCCGTTGTCCTTTTGAAAAGCTACCCATTCTAACAGTAAGATTCAGACATAGGTGTGACTAATGTTTGCATACTTTTAAATAAACTGGATTTTTAAGTACAGATTCGTTCTTCAGAGTCTGATGGAACAAGGTCATTGTGAGAGTGGGCAGCAATGACCTTGGATGAACAGACAACCTGCATTGACTGCTGTCTTCTCCTGGCCACAAAGTCATCATCTCCTTCCAGATTCAAATAACAGTCCCTCACGGAGTCAGCCTTGCTGGAACGTGGGAGGGTGGGCATTAATGTTTCTAAAATGCTTCCTCCTACTTTGTACTATGAGAAAGATAGAAACAGCCAAGTGTATGGTGGGTGGTGTTGGTATATTTATGTCTTATTTGTGGAAACTACTTATTTACTGAGTATCCTCTTCTCTCTGGATGTGTGCCATTTGTGGTCCTTGGTCTGGTGAGAATCAGCTCACTTCTTATAATAGAATTCTTTTAACTCCCTTTTTAATAGGTTCATTGTTTGGTTTATTTATTTTATTGCCCAAGGCAGAAAGTTGCCCTTGAGTCAGCTGCAACTCATGGCAACCCAAGTATATATGCCAGAGTAGAACTGTGCTCCATTGGATTTATTCAATGAATCATTTTTCTAAAGTAGATAGATCACCAGGCCTTCCTCCTGAGGTATATCTCTGGATAGACTCAATCCTCTAACATTTTGGTTAGCTGAGCATATTAACGATTTGCACTGCCCAAGGACTCATTCTTACTGCCAATCTGAGATAAATAGAAGATCTAAAAGGATGGAATTTTCTTATCCATTGTTTTATCTCAGGCTCCTAAAACGGAGACTGGCATGTAATAGTCACTCTGTAAATGTTTGCTGAGTGAATGAACAAGCAAGCAAACTGTTATGATAAATCCTATTTTGTTGGCAACTATGATTTGATTTTAGCAGATAAATGGCCCTCTGCAGGGGAGGGGAGGCTCATTCAGCCACTTGGTAGAGAGAGGACTATTTCTGTATATAAATAGGTTTCCATATAAAAGTAGTGATAGTCCATAGCTTTTTATTGTGGAGTAAATCATGACCATTTTCTGAGTTCAATACAAGTTCAGCGTTGATTGGTAATGATTAGGGAACTCAAGTTTTAAAGTCTGATCTTGGTTA